CAAACTGGTTTTGGCCATTTTGAAAGTGGTTTATGTGCTCTGAACTTCTGTTGTGTTACAGATTTGACCCAATTTCCAATCACTTATACCAGTTTATGTGTAATTTCTGTCCCTAGCCTCAAAGTCCAGCATTTAGAAGCAGGGTAGCTTGATAAATTAACTTGAGTAGAGCTTTGTGCTAATTCAGCCAGTATTTGAGCTAGCTTGTTTAGGGCTAGTACGAGTATCTCTAAGATGTGATATGTTATGGAAGGTAGATATACCCTAAATCCCAAATGGCTGCATTAACACAAATCCATCCTTTTTCTTTAACTACCAGTATTCCTATTTAAAGATAGGAAAATACTTTGCAAAATATGGTCCAGATTATATTTGGGAACCACACTGTATGTGCTTGTGCACAGTCCAGCTGATGATGCAGTAAAATTCTACTCAGTGTAAGAAAGAATCCAAGGCAGAAGGGCAGAATCCAGCCTTTTGTGCTTTAGCTCCCCATCTGTAATAGCTTCCTGACCAGTTCAGATAAATTGGTTATTGTTTAGACCTTAGACTGGTAGTGCTTAGCTCTTTCAAAGTACCTAAACTTCAGCTAGGTGTCTAGTGAGTTATACAGAAGTGCCTAATGAGTTATACAGAAGTGCCTCAGTGCATTAAGCACCCAACTCTTGTTGCCTTCTGGTATCCTTACACATCTTTGTAAATCTGGTCCAGCATGTGTTGAATGGATATTCAAAAATGGAGTGATACAAAATGGAATGTGATAATTTTATGAATCTTATTTTCAATTTCTACTTAAACTATTTGCCACTGATTATACTCCTTCATATATTGTACACAGTTGAATAAAACACATTTTCCCTATTAAAAAATTTCTGTTCATCGTGCTGACCTTTCATCTCTTAGAGCATGGCACCAAATTGGTACAGTACTGCATCACAAAAGTCCAATTTGATAATGCACTAGGACTGAAATAATCTCTTTTGCTTTTGGAAATTAGAGAGTCTCCAAGGCAAAGTATGGGAAATTCTGTTCTTATCTGTTTAATTTAGCTTTTATTTTGAAAAGGTTCATGGGCTCATTCCTTACTTCACTTCAAGTGACATAAATAAATAATGAGTCTCCTGTGACTTGTGAAACTAGACCACTGTAAAACTGGTGAAGAGACTCAGGCGGGCTAGGGACATACATTCAAAAGCCTGAGCCTGAATTGATTAAATCTTTGCAGGTTAATCTAACCTGGCTAGGGTGAATCACTTTGTAACTGCACAGACATCCCAGAAATGCAGGCACATGCCTGCAGTGGCTCAGGCTAGAAGCCAGGGGGTGCAAGAGCAGCCCTCCCTTCCCTTCCACAGTGGTGAGCTGAGGGGGGTGTAGCCAGGCCCTGGCAGGATTAGGGGGGCCTCCCCCCCCTCGATAATACAGCATTTATCAGCCCATCAGAAAACAAACAGCCTTTCTCATTAATTCAAACTCTTCTTAAGCAAAGAAGGAATGGGGGGACATTACCATCTGAGCTTTGATCAGCTCCAGAAAGTCCTAAACCGACACTGCTGTGTGCCACAGCAGGGACTGTAGCCAGCAGGTGGTCTGCTTGCTAATGCTGAGGTTTCTGTATAAGGCAGAGGGTATGGGGGAACCGTGTTTAGCAGGGAGTGGGGAGGGGAGGGGGAAAGCAGGAGGAAACCAGGGAGACATTGCTGTGCCTGCAAGTCTCTGTCAGAGCTCCAGTCAGGGAGCAGAGGGGAGGGTCCAGCCCTGCTGCGAAGCAGAGAGCCCCGCCCAGCCCAGAGAGCATGCTGGGATGCTGGGGAACTCTGATTTAACTTAACCCAGTAAGGGGTCTGGGACAGACATTGCATAAATTGGTTTGACCCAAATCAGTTATGTCTGATACTACATTCAACCAGGTTTATCTCAGACCAGTTTCAGCCATTTTCAAACTGATTTATGTGCACTGAACATCTGTTCTGTTACAGGTTTAAACCAGTTTCTGATCACTAAACCGGTTTATGTGTAATCTCCCCCTAGCCGTGCAATATGTCTTAAATGATATATCTGACAATACCTCAGTTTCTAAGGTTTGAATGTAAACAGGATTCTTTCAGTCCTGCTAGACATTAATTGTTCAGCTCTGCAGATCTTATTCATTCTGAGTAGTATTTACATATTTGTAGTTCCAGTGGGACTGCTCAATAATTTCAGGCATATGTAAGTAAAATATTGAGGAATCAAGCCTTCATTGCAGGGAAAGTGGTTTTCAATCATTCTTTAAAGTTATATATTATACCCCTGGGAGAGAAAAAAAGTAGACTCAGATTACAAATCCCTTTCATTGGTGAGTGTTACTAACCTAAGTAGCCATCTTGACTTGAACTACTCACAGGAGGAATTAACTCACTGTTGTCACTAAAAGATTCAAAACCTGACCTATTATGACTTGCTCATCTTTCATGGAGTGTAATGATTACAATGTATTATATTTCACTGGATTGCACATGTAAAAATGGCAAAACAAGTGATGTTACCATGTCTTTCTACCTTTTTGAATAATAAATGTACATTGTTTTCTAAGCCTCACACTAACACAATTTGACTATAGAGGAAACCATCTGCAAGGACAGAAAAAGGTGGTGCTTGAAATGCGGGACTTGATTTTAAAAAGCAGATGTTGTCTTTACCTGAAGCTCTGCACCTGCAATGAATGCATTTGTGTCTGTAGTTAACAGGGGATGATAAAATGAATTTACAAACCTCTTCCCTCCCCTCCCCCCCCAAAAATGGAGTGGTATTGAGGCCCTTCATAGAATTAGTCCCTTCTCTTTCATGTGGGTCTTAGAAGTTTATACATACTGATTAAGACAAGGGAGAAGCTTAATTCATAGCTTGGCATTTTTTTCTTTATCCATTTTACATGCATCTTCGTTTTGGTCAGCTTCATGTTATCTTTCTTTTGTTTGTTTTCTCATGACTAGACTTCCTCTTTGTCAAAGATTCCTGCCTCAAAGTCTAGAGCAAAGTCAATGCTTCCTCCAAGACCCAGCTCAGCTTGCTCACTAACTACTAAAAGAGCTACTTTTCTCGATACAGACAGTTATTTTGTACGGCCCTCCTCAGCGGGCCCAAGAGACTGCTTGCCATACTCAAAATCAGATACTAAGGTAAGGTAGCAGAGTTAGTAGAGAGAGTTAGCTCAGAGAGTTTCATAGGTGACTTCTTCTGTGGACCTAAATCACTCACCACTGAATCTTGATAGCACACAGTGATATTATTTGGGAATACTTGTATCATGTAGCAGGAGAATTGGGAACTGGGCTGCAGAGTATAAGCCACAAAATAGATAAAAACAGACAAGTATGTTATGAATTCTCCAGACTGAATTCAGTGGTGACACCAATGCCATATACATGTAAAGACCAAACCTCCCTCCACTGGGAATATAGGGGCACAGCTCCATTGACTTCAGTGGAGCTGCATCCATTTGTGCAAGCAGTGTGTCTAGTCCCTGGTAGAAAGCTAGTTGTAAAATAAGTAAGAAAGTACAGCAGCACCAATTTGTCTTTCAGTAGGAATAAAAAAGGGGGATTTTCAACCATTTCTTATTCTTTGAAAACCATACTTAATTGCTAGAATATGAGGACACACCTCTCAGGAAAGGCAGAGACCAGTTACACCAGGCTAAATTTGGCAGTACCTATGTAGAGGTTGAAGCAATGTAAGCTCAAGATGGAGCAGTCTGCTTTATCCTTCCCCCTTATGGATGGCTTTTCATTCTCATCCCCCTGTACGATCATTTAATTTGCTTTACACACCCATTGAATGCCAGGTTGGCAAACATTATGCTCTTAGCCCCTTCCAAATTTATATCCATTTTCTGACCAACCTACACTTGGTGAATCTTATACCAGTTTAGCCCATCAGTGTATTTGGCCCAATGATTACCAAAGGAGACATCTGCTCATGCCTGGTTGCCTTTGGTTGTCCATCTCATAAGTGCACAAAATACTTCAATTTCCTGTGATATCCACTGGCCTAAAAAAGGTAAAGAAGCAGACACACTGATATAAATATGAAAAATTTGGGCATAAGAAGGAAACAAGCTAAGCCTCCAATAGGTCTTGTTAGGTAATTCAATCAGCAGCTTAAATTTTTTTCTTCATTTTTTGTAAGATATAAAAATTTAGTGTCTCAAAATGCAGCAGTTTTACATTCAAAGCAAGCAATTATGTTGAGCATTGTGCCTTCTAGGAGCCAGATTCTGCAATACCAAATTTATGTTTGGATAACAAATACCAAAATTATTTTTGGACCATGTGTATTTGCTTCTATTTTCATGACCAAATCCCTTTATAGTACATGCCCTTTTTGGACCTCTTGTCCCATGGCCTTAAAACCAGAATTCTCCTTTGTTAAGGGCCAAATCTAAAGCACACTGGATTTAATAGAAAGACTCCCTCCCTGACTTTGCAATATAAATCAAGATACAGGAGATCATCGCCATCCATTGAAGTCACTTGGAGGTTTACATTGACTTCAGTGGAGCAAAATTAGACCTTAATACAAGTGGGGTCAGTGTAGTGGGAGAGTAAGAATTCTATTTAAAGTGGAGCTATGAAAGAAACGGAGGAAAGTTTACCTTGAAATAGACAGCAGGATGTTTAAGGGATGGTAAAAATGAGTTTGCTGGAAGAATTTTTGGCAGTGCTCTGTACTGGTTGAATACTATTCTTACTGAAGTCAGAGAGAATGTAACTTTTCTTGAGAGCAGAGTCCTGCCAACACCAAGCACTTTTGAAATCCTTCCCTTAAGATATTGTCAGTTTCAATACTAGATATTGAAACACAGCAAAGCTGAAGTGACTTACCCTAACTGATGCACCATGGCCAGCCAAACATTTTCAGAGCTTCCTGCATGAAAAATAAACAATGGATTGTGCTAGTATTAAACCAATGGGAAATCACGTTCTGACACTTTGTTCATGCTAAATGCAGCCATTTATTCTCTTTTTTTGCTCCTATTAGGATGGAGTAACCAAGAGTCCAGAAAAGCGTTCATCTCTACCAAGACCTTCCTCCATCCTCCCCCCTCGGAGAGGTACCTCAGGAGACCGAGACAGAGATGAGAACTCTTTCTCCCTCAATACCTCTATTTCTTCTTCAGTACGACGGACCACCCGTATGTTTTTCTGCAAGCTAGCACTTCCCTGCTGCTGTTGGTTTCATTGCCCACCTATATCAGTCACCCAACCACTAAATCCATTCCTTCCTTCCCTTTGCATTAAAATATAGGACTGAGTTGTACTGCTTGAGAGCAGACCCTGCACCTCAAAGATTGGACATGACAAGAAAATCCCTTCATGTGGGCTTGTGAGTTGTTTGAAACATTCAATACAGGGCTGTTTTAAACAACAGCAACAAGTAGATCCAAACCTCCAATCAGTAGTACAGATTTAAAACAAAAGTCTCATGATATGAAGAATCTGCTAGTTAATAAAAAGAGTCATACTGTTCCAGTTTAAATGGCCTTCTAGTGCTCAATCAATGCCAACGCAAGACCTTGCTCAGCATAAATGTATAGTTGTCACAAAATGTGGGCAAACTAGTAGAATGACTCTTCAGAAGAAAGATGCAGCTAAACAAAATAGTCTTTTCATCAGGAACAAGTCTATAAAACCATAAATCAAAACAAGTTGCCATAAAACTAAGGAAACATAAATGAAGTTCCTTTACTAGTCTGGCATTCAGCCCCAGCCTCAGAACCTGGACAGAGTGTCTTATAGATTTCTCTCGTTTCTGCCTCTTCAGAAGCCACTCTTCCAGCCATTTCTAGAGGAACGTAAAGAAGTGAGATAGTAAAATCCCCTGAAGACTGTTAAATAATGTTCCTAGGTCTCCATGGGGAAAATGCAGATCCTCTCTGTACATAATGACCTATGGATGGCACAACAGCCTATCCTCCTGGAAGGCCACAAGTGCATTTTCCACAAGGGACAGAAGGCTGAGAAATAAAAAATAAGTATGTCAGGAGTACATACTTGTGGGAAAAACCTACTCTCTTTCAATCACAGTAAGACAGTCTTGGTTGGGAAAAAAAGAGCTTATTCTGGGAAAACTGGAGGTGAGGGTAAGGCCAGTTTAATTTACTTAAGTTGTCATGTATAACAAAGAGACTTTCTCCTTGGCCCCATAAGCAGCAGCCTGATCCAAATACATTGAAATAAATTGAATGTTACCATTAACTTCAGGGGGATTTAAATGTACCATTCTTCAGCAAACTCAGTACATGCAGGTATGTACTGCCAGAAAGGACAACTTTTAGACCTCCAACTCTGCTTGAAAGTTTAGGTTTTTTGTTTTGTTTCGTGTTTTCTTTCCTGCTGCCCAGATTAATATTTTTAGAATTTAAATTGCCTTGGATAAGCCTTGACACAAACACCTTATTGAGGTGAAATGAGTTTTCAGCTCATGCCTTGGATGCTTGCTATTCGCGTGCCTTCAGACAGCTTTCTGCAAAGCTGTCTGAACAGGGCACATTCCCAGTATACAAATTTTTCTGGAGAAAATTCTCTCCATAATGACAAGGGCTGGGCATGCATTTGCATTTGACAGGGCCACTACAAAATCCCCTTTTTGTTTGTTTGTTTTTCCCCACATGTGTCCATAGCATGAATATGACTTTAATCTAGGTATTCATGTAGTAATCGTCTTATTAATTCTCCTAATAAAACAATAATGATCTAGATGCTGATCAATAATTGGTATAAATAGGTCAAAGGAATTATGACAGTTTGGATCAGACAAATATCTCAGTCTTATTAAATTACTATGGATACAGGGTTACTACATAAGGTTCATGATCAAAAGTAGCCATTCATTCCAAATCCACTGTTCAAAGTTTAAGAACAAAATCATCTCCACTGTATCTACTATTGCCTAATGTCCACTGACAATAAATAGCAATATTTTCACTGACTTAAATTTTGGTGTCCTATAAAAGATTTTTTGAGAAGTATTTATCTGTAGAGTTCTTGTTGTCCATAGAGACGCTATGAAGAAGACAAAGATGCATCTGTGTAGTTATAATACTGCCTTATCTTCCACATAGGATCAGAGCCAATTCGTAGCAGAACAGGAAAAAGCGGCACTTCTACACCCACGACTCCTGGATCTACTGCGATCACTCCTGGTACCCCACCTAGCTACTCTTCGCGTACCCCAGGGACTCCTGGGACGCCCAGCTATTCCAGGACACCCCATACTCCTGGAACTCCCAAGTCTGCTATCCTAGTGCCCACTGAGAAGAAAGTAGCCATCATACGCACTCCTCCCAAATCTCCAGCAACACCCAAGCAGCTACGAGTTATTAATCAGCCTCTGCCGGACCTCAAGAATGTCAGGTCCAAAATTGGATCAACAGAAAATATCAAGTACCAGCCAAAAGGGGGACAGGTGAGAAATAGATTCATATATAGCTGATTTATTCTAAGTGCACCACAATGGGATTAGTAGGGGAAGGGATTAATAATCAATTTTGAATTGATTTACAGATTTTAAGCAGAGTGTTACTGATGTACACTTGGTATTTAAGTGATTTTAAACTACAGGGCCATGATTATCCCCAGAAAAATATTAAAGTGAAAACCAACATGATTCAGAAAATACCTGACCATTTTTATGAGTAACAAGAACATGCAGAGTTTTTTATACTTAATGCTAATAACAAGTTTGGGAAGGACATTAAACCTTCAGACCTTCACCCAGTCTCTAACTACTGGAAAACAGAATGAGGTCTAATGGGAATGGCAGGTCATCTTACATCTGACCGCATAAGGTCCTTATACTTTCTTCTGAAGCTTCTAGTATCAGTCACTGTCACTGGCTAGATATTAGACTGCATGGACCACTGTCCTCTTTCTGTGGAGCACTTTCTCCTTTCTAAGCATTGTGGAAATGTCTGTACATATATCCATAGAGGTCAAAGTTATTTGCAAGCAAGCAAGATTCCTGCAGATAAAAGAGCATTACTATATCTTGTAAGATAAATGAGGTGGCAATTAGTCCTTTAATGCTTAATGAAAAAGCTACAGAAAATAACCTATTCCTTACAGAGCTGGAATGCTGGATCAGAAAAATTGAAACCTGCAACAGGTTTAAAACTTAGACCAAATTCAACTTTTTTGAGGATGTAAAAAATGCGGTTAGTTTATTTTTCATAAAATGCTCCTGTGAACTTTAGGTTGGTTTGTGACCCAAGCCTCTGCAAAGTACACTGCCCCTTCAGTTCTCACTAACCTCATTAGCCGAAGGCCCACCACTCCTACACTGTGAATGCTCACCACTCTTTTGACTCTGGGTCCAGTTCTATGGCCTGTTAACACATAGAGAGGAAAAAGTACAAAACAATTTATGAGATTCCCACTGGATCTCAGCAAGTGCATCCTGATCCTGCTAGGTTCCTCAATGACACAGTAGAGTTCTTAGCATCTTGCAGTTTGGGGTCTGTAGCAAACTCATCAAATAAACCTAGTAAAGACAATGTATCACCACATACATTCCTTCACTTATCTGGACAGGTTTGTCTGCAAGTATTGTTGATACTTCATCTCCTACTTTACATGTGCCATAGCACACAATGTAAAAGCCGTATACAACTTCAGTAGAGTCCCTAACAGCTTTTCTTTCTTGTAAATATTGTGGCCAAAGCTAAATTTCCTTAACAGTTTTGCAAAGCTACAAGGAATCTTTGCTAAGATGTCAGGAAGAATCTGTGAGTAGTTGTTTTGCTCATTATTATAAGGAGTTATCAGGTTTGTAGATGTACACAGTGAAAAATGTCAAGCTTTATTTGCTTGCTGTGTGTGGTGGTGTTTTCAATTATTTAGTCTTTGAGCCCTCACAATTTTGCCTTGTTTTTCTGCCAGACACTCTGCCCCTTCTGCACTGAGATGTTTTTCTCTCATGTAATATTAATTCTCCTTCAGTGTTGTAGCAGCTGGCAATTCTTTCTTCTCAGGGAGGGTCACAGGGGAAATTTTGTGGTTGAATATAATGTGATTGAGATGACAGGATTTTTTTATACTTTATTTCTTAATTACATGTGCCTATTAAACTGTGGCTTGGGCAACAAAAATGACTCACTCAATACTTCCTTTATGCCTTCCCCATATTATTCTTGTTCTGTCTAAATGAAAGGTTTTTAGTTTGTTTTTCTTTTCTTGTTCAGTCTTATAGATTCAAGTGATCATAAAAAAAATGTGAAACCGTGTTTTCTTTCTTTTTTTTTGGTCACTGCCCTCCTATATCATGTCTGGCACTGAATATTCCAGTGGCTGAAATGAACTGCTTTCTGCTATCTGCTTTGACTGATGAAATATGAAACAAATAGAAGGCAGTTTGATTTTTATAACCTGAACTAGAAGTGCTGATAGTAATAACCATAGGAAAAATATATCTGGACAAATAAAGTAAGCAAAAATGACATAAAAATTACAGGAGACACATAGATATGCAACCCTAAAGTGTCATTTGGAAAAAGTCTCTTCCCCTTGACTAGAGGCACATCTTAACTTAGCACAAGGTCCATTAGCTTACAGCTGTCTTAGGGAAAACAGTAACATTGTGATGATGCCAGAGTATGAGGTGCGTGGCTGAAGAAGTAGGCAGTTTGAATACTAAATAAATCAAGAAAACACAGTTTCTGTTTTGAATTTCATCAGCAACTCATCAGCCAACAAATGTATTTAAATTCAGCTGTGTCTCACTATTTTAAAACAGCTCAAAAGACACGACGGAAAAACAGATTTCTGGCAGGGGGGAGTTAATGCTGCTTCATATTAAATCTCTACTAGTTATATGTAGTCTGAGACATGTTTAATTGGCATCCTTCATTACCAAGAACCAAAGGGGTCCTCTGCCTTGTAATCTTAACCAAGGGGTGGCTGTCTGGATTTCTCCTTATAGAACAGTAAGAAGAAATGCATATCATTCTTGGTAAAGCTTAGAGACAACATGGTTTTAGCACCACATCAGCTATGAAGGAAATACTGCACTTTCAATAGTAACCCATTTGCTTCTGTTATTTCTATGATATCTCAAGGGGAAGAGTGGGAGGGAGTTGGTGGGGGACTGGGGGGAGGAAATTTGTTGCAGATGCCAAGAGTATTTTTGCTATTTTGATGTTTTCTTCTCAAATTTCTGCCCATGGAAGTGAGAAGATGTTTGTAAACAATTTAATTATACCAAAGGACTTTGATTTAATCTTCTATATAACAGCCCTAGGATATATGTTAGGTCCCATATGCCAACAATCAAGGAAAAATTCTATTAAAAAAATACTAATCTAAACCATTGGCTGGATCCTCAGCTGGTATAAATTGGCAAGGCTTCCTTGAAGTCAGTGGATGAGGTCTGTCAGTCAGTCTAGGTTCACCCAAGTCAATACTGGGCACTAGGGGGGTATGAAGCGGGCCCTATTCGATTCAGATTTAGGCCAAATCAGGGACAGTGATTTGATTCATTGATTCAGATCACGGGCCCTATTCAATTCATCCGAATCTGAATCTAAAGATTCAATGCTGATTCAGAGAATCAGTGATTCAGACACAGACACAGCTTTAAAAGTTTTTTCCACATACCTCGAGGTACCAGGCGTGGCTCATGATTGTTGTGATGCTGGGGCAGATGGAGCATCCCGGAGGAGTGCAGGGGGCCCTCCATGTGCTCGGTGGTAAACCCAGAAGTGAACTGGAAGTACTTCTGGTCCACTTCAGGGTCTGCCAGGAAGCATGTTGGGGGTCCCCTGTGCTCCCCCCCAATCAGTGATCAGCCGCAGGGGGACCCCAGGTACCTCCCCAGAGCCAGGAGGCACCAGTTACCAAGCCAGACGGGTGCGGGGGGGGACCCCCTGAGCACACTGTCCACCAGACCCAGAAGTGGACCAGAAGTGCTTCTCGTCCACTTCCCGGTCTGCTGTTGAGCACGCTGGGGACCCCCCGCACTTCTGTGGGACACTCCATGCACCCCAGCATCACAGCATTCATGAGCCACTTGCTACCTAGAGGTATGTAGAAAAAACATTTAAAGCTGTCTCTATGTCCGAATCTCCAAATCTTTCTGAATCTCTCCAAATCAATTTGGAGTGATTAAAGGGTCTCCTGATTTGATTTGGATTTGGAGATTCAGCCACTGAATCGGGCTGAATCTCTGCCGAATCGAATCAGGGACCGAAGCTTCACACAGCCCTACTGGGCATGTCTACATGGGGCACTACATCACTGTAGCATATGTGGAAGAGCTACAGAATGAAGTTAAGGAAGTTCTTGTGGAGGCCAGTATTCTGTAAACATGACTCGAAAATGCCTTTCAAACAGCTCTGAAAAACCTCGAAAACAGGGAAGAAAATAAGTACTGAGAGTCAAAGTATGTGCTGCTTCACCAGTAGTGTTCCAGGAGTTTAAGAGCGAGTCATCTCCCCATCCATCCCAGTAACGCTGTAAGGGAACAGCCCACAGCCACTGCTTTCCACAAGTAATTAACAGGGGAAGCTGCTGGTACTGCTGGCAGCACCAATCTTAAGATGGAGGGGCAAATCTGGCCAGGTCTGGATGTGGTTCTGGCCTCACTTTGCATTTATCATTAAGCAACCCATTTCCTTAAGGTGTGGCCCACTAGTGAGTGTGCCCCTTTAACCACCCTAGAAAGATAGGTGTGAAATGAGATTCTGCTCTTAGTTGCAAACTCTTTAAAGTGTAATTTAAAAAACTACCAGCAAGGCAAGATGAAGAAGCATTTTCTGCCATGTTCTGGTTGTTGTCAATTAAATGAAAATTCTTGTTTGTAGGAAGTGATCCTTCTAAGCAAGAAAAAAATTTACAGACAATCTGGATCAGATTTGTATAGTTAAATACAAAATACTGAACCCTGATTTGAGTAAACTAAGAAGTACCTTTATTTTACTAAACAGGAAAGAACATAGTCTCTTAACCACAGTTTCTATTTAAATATTTCACATCTAAAAGAGGGTAGATCCTGATCCTCTTTTCTCATATGCCAGTTTTTACTGGCATAGAGAAAAAAAACCCCTGTCAATTGAAAAGCAAGGCCTTTCTTACAATGCTGGGACTGATCTCCAGGTATAACTTTATGCAACTGGAAGTACCATAGATCAGAAAGTTGATGGTAGTGTGTATATAGGGAAGGATTATTGTTACTAAAAGATCAGGCCTTTTATGTAGGAAAACTCTGAATTTGTTTTTTGAAGGCCAGTACCACAGAATAATGTGCTGAATCTTGCTTCTTTTTGTTTTGACTGGCTTAAGTCATATTTTAACATTGCTACAAGTTTGTTTTTGGAGGGTGGTGCGTGCTTTACAATTTTTACCTTTATACCTATCAGATACCAGATATAGTTATCAATGAGTAAGTGGTGCTGATTGCTGATCATAACCATC